AGATCTAAGAATTAGGGATTTTTGATCGTCCAAGAGTTTAAATGCGTAAGTATAAAAGGATAAAAGAACCACCTTTTATATGTTTCTTGTAAATTTGAAATTGAAACGGTTTGAGCATTAAATGAAATCCGACGTGGCACCTTGAAACTCACACCCTATAACCGATAAACTAGCCACGCGTGAAAAAGCATCCATCACATCACCTTGAAAGCCAGAAGGAATACAAAGAGTCTTGTCAAACAGCCTGTTTGTACTATTCAAGAGAATTTTAACCATCACTATCCTTCATTAGGAAGTAAGGCTCTTTCGCTTTTAGGATGAAAAGCGAAGTCATTTGCCAGAGTTTCGAAATCATCAGCCTAAGTTGGTAATACTCAGAACCTCACGGATTTTGTGAGTGTAGTGTGCCAAAGAAATAAGATGAGAATCAAACTTAATGAAAATTTAGAATCTGTGATGTCGACAATTAAAATTTCAACACAAATCCAGTTAAACCTCGGGTAAAGATTTCTTCAGTAATCTTCAAGAGAGATGATCAACTGCTTGTTCGGTTTCCCGTGAAATACAATTGAATACTTATAAAGAAGTATCGAAGTGCTTCTTTTCAAGGTTTCGTGGGTGGCTTAAAATTTCGATACATATCAACTTAACATAAGGTGAGTAATTGTAATCGAAATTACCTGTTTGACCAGCGTAGTTAGCGACAAGTGTGCTTTGAAAAAAATATTTCAAGTGACTTTAGAAAGCAAATGAAACACACATGGAAATCATTATATATATATATATATATATATATATATATATATATATATATATATATATATTTCAAGTGACTTTAGAAAGCAAATGAAATACACTTGATTGGCAACAATTCGTGGAATTTTTGTTTCTTTCGAACCGTTGTTGGATCAAATGGGCTTCTATAAAACTTCATCATCATTACTATCAGTCTGACCGTCTCTGACATCCACATGATCAAAATCACAAACTTTCAAAGTTGAAGGTTTGTTAGTGTCAATCTTAACCAAAGAATCCTCACAATTTTCTATTCCTTTAGATTTTGATGCAACATTAACAACAGACAATTGAGAACAATCAACATCCTCAAGATCACTAATTTCGCTAATATTATTAGAATTATCTTTGGTATCAGCAAAATTAGATCGTGAATCAGATGTCGAATTCTCAGTATTTTTCAAGATTTTGATTTGTTCATTCTTGGTTAAAGTATCATTAACAATATCAACTAATTCATTTGAATCCAGATATTCATCAATTTTAACTACTCCATAAGCATATCTATCATCTGGAAATATATCAAACTCTGCTATATTTTTCTCACAATCATACGAAATATTATCAACCTTTTCTCTTTCATATGCTAGAAAAGGTAATAATTTCTTATGTTGTTCCTTACTAATATCAGACGAATGATGTAAAGCAGTAAGTTTAGCATACAGACGTTTAACAGAATTACAGTATATGTTCTTTTGGGATAATAAGATTTTTACATAACTACTAAGATTGTCTCTGTCACACATAATGTTTATAATCTGCAATTCTAAACATTCAATTTTTATTTTCTTGGCATCTAATTGCTTCCGTACTTCTATCAATTGAGAAGTTGATTTCTTATCTTCGTTGCTAGCAGATATAACCAAAGTATCGAAATAAGCAACAATCATCAAAAGAATTAATTCAGAATCATATGCACTTAGAGGAATATTAAAAGATTGAAGAATAGAATGTACATTGGTGGGCATTGGGGATTTATCAACACTTTTGGTCATGAAACAATTACCTCTCACAGTTTCGTCCGAGTCATCTTCATACTTCGCAAACATGGCTCCATGCGTCGGATTACGCATTTCTTCATCATCCGATCCCGAAGACCATATATAATAAGTTACTTCATTCTCATCATCGACCTCCCCCTTTGCCACCAGTGAAATGCCTTTCACCTTTTCCCTTACTTCTTCCAACCTCTCAACGTATTACGCTTCGTCCTTCACCTTGTTTTTCTTCTTATCCTTTTTACGAAGCTGACAATCACTTGCCACATGATTGGCTCCGTGGCAATAATGACAGTCAATTCCTAAATCACCTTTAATCTTCTTCTCAACTTTTGTCTCTTCTTTCTCTACTTCCTTTTTCTCATTCTTCTTCTTCTCTTCTCCTCCAACCTTCGACATAAATCTTCCTTTCACATCAACATTTTTCAACTTCGAATTGAACGGTTTCTTGAAAAACTTCTTTACTTTGTTATTCGAATAAAATGCAACAGCCCCATTATCTGAATTAACAATGAACCCTTCTTCATCAGAATCCTCTTCTTCAACCTGTTCCTTTTCTGAAACTTTCGAAACTAAGGCTAATGGTCCACCCACGCTTAATTTCGATTCCTCAGCCATTTCATTCACTTCACCTTCGTGAGTCTTCAACAGATTATACAGATCATTCAGTGTTGATGTGTCGAAACTTTGCTGAGTTTTAACCATCAGAGTAACATTCCTCCATTCCTTTCACAGACCCATGATGAACGTCAAATTGAATTCCATGGTTGTCCATGTAATGCCATGACGATTACACTTGTAGATCAACTCATTCACTCTATCACAGTAACATTTGATTGACTCTCCATCCTTTTGCTTAAAATCTTTCAATTCAATCAAACAGTGCTTAACTGAATTGATTTTCGTCTTCTCACTTCCTTGAAATCATTCTTTGAGATTATTCCAGATTTCTTTTGCAGTTGTACAACTTCTGACATAGTTATACACAACAGGAGGTAATGCACCGCATAACTCTCTCATACATCGTTTTTCAAGTTTCTTCAATCGATCAATTTGAACATCAACACTTGAAGTTCCAGATGAAGATCCAATTGGTTGAACATTTGCCAAAGGAGTAACATTCCCAGAAATACATGACCATAACTCCTCATCGAGTCCATTTAAGTAGTCTTGCATACGATCAGCCCACTGATCATAGTATTTTGGTATGAGCATAGGAATCTTAGTTGAAGATCCTAGCGGATGAGAATATGAATTCATTAAGTTTAGGTTGAAATTCGCCATTGATGTACGAATTAAATTTTCTGAGAAATCAACAAGAATGTGAAAGCAAATTGCTGAACTGAACAGAAAAATCAAGTAGACCGCTGATTCAACAAATCAGTTACAGAATCGAATCACAACTGAACATCAATAATACTTTTTCACTTCAAAAGGTGCGGAAACTTTTTGAACCTGAATTTGATCCAAAAATCTTTTGAATCAGAGTGAAAATCAGATCACAGATTATGATTCCCGCTCTGATACCAATTGATGAAGTATTGAATCGAGAATATATTAGAGTAATCGAGTAAATGAACACAGAAAGTAAATAGAATTTGGTTTCAGCTCATATTATGCTTTCAATGTTTACAAAGAGAAAATAGACAAGTCGAATATTGATGCTTCTCTAACTCTAAGTAAAGTCCCTATTTATAGGAGACGTGATAGCATACAAAAAAATTACAATGACTAAACATTAAGTTTCGACATAAAGTGCCCTGTAATTAACATTACAGATTTCGACATATTACAATCAAAACTTCGACCCTTACAGATTGAAGCCGGCTACTAAAGGTAGAAGGCCTAAAAAGACAAGTCAGTAATAACTTTGTTTCCTTAAAAGGTACGGAAATAACATGAGAGACTTAATGAGCAAATATACAAAATATTATAGGACTACAAATGTCATTTTCCCTATAAATTAATGTCAAAAAACGAACTTGCAACAATTTTCTAACTCATGTAATAATTTTTTTTTATCATGCCTATAGTAAGGATGTTATTCGGGTCGGAACCGAACTGAACCTGAATAACCCGAAAACCGAATAAGGGTAATTACATGAACCAAAAACCAAACAGATCAACCGATATGGGTTCGGTTCGATTAAGGTATTAATCGGTTATGTTTGGTTATTACCCGAATAACATGTATAAGATGATTAATGACTTAATATAACCGAAAAAACCGTATTAGGATTCTATAACCCGAATAATAGAATAACAATATACTTTTATACATCAACGTAAAATATTCAAAGACTAACATAACACAATAACACATTGAAAGAATAGCATTTACATAGTAGATTAACATAATGAGAATTAATTTCTTATTTGAGTTTTTTGAGTTGACGCCTAATTTTTCATGACTAGACAAAATAGGAATTTGTGAATCCTTAGAGACACACTAGGAATAGTCGATTTTTGAAAGTCTGAAACAAAAAGGAATGATCGACATAAGTAATTTCGACTTTGGAAATAGTTTAGAAGACTGGTCTATTTCGGAACGATGAGAACGAGCGTAGTTTTTTTTTTTTTTTTTTTTTTTTTTTTTGTTATGAACGATGAGGACAGAAGTGTGAATTGTGATTTTGATTTCTGTCGATAAAAGAATGGGGATGAAGAATGCTTATTTGGGTTAGTTATTTAGAAACGAATAAATTTTTATTTGGGTAACCCGAACCGAATAATCCGATAACCGAATAAACATAATATAGATACTCGAAACCGGAATCGAATTGCTTATTCGGGCCTAATTCTTCGGATCGGTTCAGGTTTCGGTTCAGTTTGGATTTCTGGACTAAATTCTCATCCCTACCTATAGTTATATATTAATTACTTATAAAGTTTAGATAATGGCATGATGTACATTAGTATAATTTGATCTTCAATAATTAATATTTAATATAAAGATAACAATAAAAATATCATTTTGGCAAATAAATAAACTTGTTAAGAATATACATATAAATTTGTTACATAAATTAACCCTTTAAATAAATATTCTGTTTTAAGATAAAGATAATATTAAACTTTTCAGATAAACTAGTAAACTACTATGCAACATAAGAAAGATCGCTTCCTAGGGGACACGAAACCATTTGTTCGTGACCCCCATCTTCGCCCTCGCCGGCCACCGGGGAACTATCACAGCTACTTTCAAAGATGGATTTCCGCCACCACATCCCCGGCGGATCTCCTTCCTCCTCTTCCACCACTTCTTCCTCCTCCCAAAACCCCAGCCACCGGAACGGTAACCAGCATAACCAGAACCACAACGGCAGCACCGCCATAACCACCACCAACGACGACAGCACCACCAACAACAACAACGATCCAATGCACTCATGGTGGGAATCCATCTCCAAAGCCCGATCTCGCATCCATCTCTTATCCACACTTTTACCCGTACCCGAGCCTGACTCTGAAGATCCAAACCCGATCTCATCTCTCGCCGATTCCGATGCCCCCGCACGCTCTCTCCTCTCTTCTCTCACTGCATACACCGCCGTATCTTCTTCGCTCACATCCTCTCCTGACTCCGGCTCCGGTGAGGATTCCCTTTGTAATTGGCTGTACGATACCTTCCTCTCTTCCGATCCAGACCTCCGCCTTGTCGTCCTCGCCTTCATCCCTCTCATCGCCGGTCTTTACCTTTCTCGCATTCATTCTCTCTCCTCCTTAACTCCGTCGCTTGCCGGATTTGAAGCCGTACTTCTCGCTTTATACTCATCGGAGACCAAATCTCGCGCCGGGAAACCTATAATGATTTCAATCCCCGATCTCTCTCAGCCGTCGCTTTACCATTCTCCTAGGGTTAGCAACAGCAAAAAGAAACCGAATTCGGCTAAAGTGAACCCTAATTCTGGATCGCAGCCTTCGCGGCCTACAGTCGGAATCCTATCTCCTCCTCTAGAGCCCCAAACCGCTATAAAGTCAACGAAACGTGCTACCATTGTTGGAGTTGCACTCGATTGTTACTACAAGCAGATCTCTCAAATGCCTAGCTGGTCGAAGCTCGATTTCTGCAAGTTCGCTGCTGATTGGGCTGGACAGGATTGCGCTTGCAAGTCCGAATTCGACCAATCCTCTGAAGTTACAAACTTTACCGATGGTATCGTTGAAGATGGAATCGACATTGAAGGGAATGTCGTTGAAGAAATGAGGAATTTGGAGATTCAGGATGGGGATTCAGACAAAGTCGTTGCTAGAGGGACAAGAATTCTTCTTCCATGGGAACTTCTACAACCAACTCTAAGGATCTTGGGCCACTGTTTACTCGGTCCATTGAATTCAAACGATGTGAAAGATACAGCATCTACAGCAGTTCGATGTTTGTATGCTAGAGCTTCACATGATTTAGTTCCTCAAGCGATTTTAGCTACTCGAAGCTTAATCCAACTGGATAAGAGAGCTCGTGAAGCTGCTGCCATGGCTGCCGCATCAACTGCTAATACACCAGGTTCTAATGCTAATACACCCAGTAAAGCCAAGAAACCCGAAATTCTCTTAGTATCAAAATGAAAGCAGAGTATGTTTTTTTCTATCTCAATATCGGGAAAAAAAATAAAAATTCCATTTTGTTATCTTGATAATATAGTGTTTGATCTTGCTGTAGGGGTAGAGCTCTACAATGTGTAATTGGTAATTACTATATCTATAATCTGTCAACTTAAACTTGTAGATGCAAGAACTCAATTGTGTAATTTAATTTTTTGTTTGTTATGAGATTGCATTCAGTTTTATTTAATTTTTTGAAGTTGGAAGGTGTTTGCTCTTATTAATGTATTTGTTTAAGTTTAGTATAGACTTATGACAATGCTTTGCTTAGCGATCACAATATTTGTTGATAAAGATCCATGGTCCACTTTTGTAAATTTATGCCCATAAAATAAAATTTTAATTTAAATAGTGCATCCAACTTATATTTCATGTTCAAAAATAAGAAACCAAAAAATGTAGAATTCTTTTTAATAAATCCCGAACATAACATGACACTTGTGCTGTGTTTGACGTGTATTGGACTGACTATGCGCATTTTTATTGGACGAAGACTGATAATGATGTATAAAAGTTATAGATTTATGTCCCGTCAATGACACAATGTCTAACATTGTCTAACAATGTTAGACACTGTCTAACATTGTTAGACAGAGTTTTGCCAACTTGTACTGTGTTGACGTCGTTATAGAAGATGGTAGCCGTTATTGGTGGCTTCTCGTTGGTTAAACTTTTGATCGGTTATTTTAGCACCTTCTATTAACCTAACGAAATTATATTTTCAGTCATAAGCAATCACTTCAAAGAACTTCTAATGTCAACTACAATCTTGTTTGCGGATTATTTGGTTTGTTTGTGTGATTGTGGATTCAACATGTTGATTTAGACTAGGTGTTATTTTTACTTAATGGGACATGACTTTGTTGTATAAGAGTTTTCTTTTTAAGTTAATACATAAATAACGACTTAATAACAAAATTAAGAAAATAAAGTATTTATGTTTAATACAGAAATAACGACTTAATAACAAAATTAAGAAAATAAAGTATTTATGTTTAGTAACTAAGTTTTTATATTTTTGTCTAGTTTATTATTTCATTTCCCAAAGTTTACGGAATTTTTTTCCTAAATTAGTTATTAGAGTAAATTACAACTTTTGGATTTAGTTATACATTGTTTTGTTGCTCCTTTGGTCTATTATGCTTAAACCACATTAAAAACAATAGGTTTTGGAAAATCTAAGAGGTTGTTTTATAACATGTGAATTGAATCATTCATAGTTTTGATACAATCTCTAAACAAAACAAAAGTTTTAACAATTAAGGAACTCTATATTCTTGTAACTACCATGATTTTTGAATAATTATATACTAGATGGTTCAATTTTATCATTAAGTAAAAGAGGTGTTAAATCGTCATACTCCAACAAACGTAACAGTGGGTGTTAAAAGTGAGTTAAAAGGGAACATAATTCCAATTTATATAAAAATAAAAATAAAGAAGCAAAGATAAAGATGAATAAAGAAGATGAAGATTTTGATAAAATATTCGTTTTACTCGGACTTAATGAGATTTTTTTTTTTTTCAAAAACCCTCATGGTGAGTTGTCATTTGCTTTACTTTTTAAACGATCATTTATCTAGATAAAATTTTATCACAACAATATTGAAAGGTAATATATATGGCCTTCTCGTTGATTAAACAACGAGAACTTTTAAACTTGTACTAAAAGATGGTGAACTATTTCAGTATCACAATATTGAATATTTCAATATCAAAAGTAATGTTTTCTGATACCGGAACCCACTATTTTTTAGAAAATAAATAAATAAATAAACGAGTAGACTTTATCAATAAAAAGAAAAACAAATTGATTCAAGCAGATTTCTTTAGAAAAAACAAGTCAATAGCAATTTATTATTGATATAAATACGTCATTTTCTACATTGAACAACTATAAACAAATTAAATGCTAATACATATTTTTCTTCAATAAATATGTGTTATTTAAGTCGTTAAATATTTTAATAACGGGAAAATAACACATACGATCTATGAATTTTCTAGGGTTTACCCATTTAGTCACTTAACTTTTTAGTAGCTCTATAAGGGAACAAACTTTATTTTGTCGGGTCAATTACGTCATTATGGCGTTTGTGAAAGGGTCAGCCAATCATATTTATGTCACCTGTGTTACTTAAACCCTTTGGCTTGCTGATTGTGTATGCCATGTCATTTAATAAAAGCTTTACTTAAACGATATCTTTTCCCATCTACTGTTCACCACTTTCATCTCTTTCGATAAACCCTTACTTTCTTTCGTCTCCTCAAACCTGAAACATGGATCTTGTATTCATCCAAGTCGATGTGCATTTCCAAGGAATCTTCACAAAATACTCCATACGCTACACCGGAGGGATTACTCAGAGGTTGTCAGACATCGATAGCCCATAGTTGTTTGGATAGACATAGGGGTAGAGGTATGCTGGTTGGAATACTAGCAGATTAGTGATACGGGAAGTTATAATTTTCTTGGATGTTTTTGGCAGACGGTTATGCACCTGATCTGTTTTGAGAATTTTAGTGTCACGCGAGATTTTGTATTGACAATGGTTATGCTTGTTGTAACAGTTGGTTAGTTATGACTTGTCAGGAAGTCAAGTGTGTATTTGAGAACTTTTAGGTGATTTTAGGATGGGTTGGAATCGTTGATCAAAATGTTTTGAGTACTTTTATGCTTAGTTTAGTGGTGTTCCTGGTCTGGGACTTGGGTTAAGTGTGACAAGTGGATGATCTCCAGTCATTAGGTATGTCTCTAGAAGTTTAGACTGTTAGGTTTCCATTTTGTGAAGTACATGGATGGAGGTGGTTAGTAGTTCTACTTTTAGGAGTTTCTGTTCTAAGTGGTTCTCGGTAGGAGTTTGGACTTCGCGTTTGGAGATAGAGGGAGTTGTTGCAGTCGAGTGTTATAAGTGACCGAGTTAAGTGTTAGCATTAGTTGGGTTCTAGACGGTGTTAGTATAGCTTCCAGAAAATTTTAACCGAGTCGAATTTTGAGGACGAAATCCAGTTTAAGTGGAGGAGAATTGTAACACATGGTTTCGAAATGTTTCTAATTTCGGAATAGCAAGCCATAAATGGATAAAGAAAAGGTTTTGGGCTTTAAGGGAATAGAGTTTAGAACCTATCAGACGTTGAAATTGTTGGTTAAGTGATTCAAGCCTTCGATTTGTGCTTTAAAGAAAAAGGGTAAAATGGGAAAGTAATATTCTAGGCTTCTTACATGGATTATGGATTCAGTTCGACATGTATTAAGTCAAAACCAACTAGAGAATGTTGTGGGGATCGTCTATACCTTTCTGTGCATATAAAGATCGCCGAGAACAGAGTTGAAACAAAGAAGTTATGATTTTTGATGTTGGAATGGAATTGGGTGGGAATCCATTATCACAAGGTGAGAAGCATATTCTCACGACGTGATGAGCATATCTCATGACGTGACAAGCAGGCTGTCACTAGGTGAGAACTGGGTAGCCCAAGCCCACGTATTTTAAGGTTTTCTTTGTATTTAAAAGGTGGTTCCGTGTTTTTGGGGTATTTTTCCACCCTTCTTCACACCAAAGCCATTTTGAGAGAAACCCTAACCTCCCTTTCACCACTTTGAGCCTCCCATCCCTCCCATCTCCTCTTTCATCCATTTTTGGAGTCCATGGTGGATTTTGGAATGAAGCTCTTTCAAGATGGAGTCTTGGAGCCTTGCATAAGAAGATCTCAGCTTCCAAGTATCTTTTGGACCTTGGGTATGATTCAAGTTTCCACCTTTATTCTTATAAGTTATTAGATCTAGGCTCCTTTGCCATTTTCTCCTTGTTTATGACGTTTTGAGTGACAAGGTTCCATAAAGTTGGCAACTTTATGGATCCTTGGGGTTGCTTTTAGGTTGTATGTTCCAGATTTATGTAATTTTGATGATTTTGGATCTCTAGTGCAAATTTGGGTATATTTCTTCCATGATTATTGCCTAGAGTGAAAGGGGCATGCATTGGACATACATGTCCATAAAGCACCGATTTTTATGTTGTAATTAGAGTAGGAAAGCCACTTGGAAAGTATGAATGAATGGATGGAGCGATTAAGGACTTAATACAATTAGGAAGTCATATATGTTCTCACGACATGAGCGTAGCCTGGGTGTCCCGACTTTTTTTTTTTTTTTGAGGATTCTCACGACGTGACAGACAGAATCTCTGTCACGACGTGAATGTTGATTTGAGGATGATCGAGTTGAACCAGGACTGAGTTAGTGATCGGTCTGGACTCACTTTCTCACGACATGACTAAGGATTGGTCACGAAGTGAGGGTTAGTCAACGGGAGAGCTAATGGTTGACTTTGGATGTTGACTTTTGACCAAGGTTGACTTTTGGTCAACTTAGAGGTTTTAGGGTGTAAACTGAGTGGATACTTCTTTATTGCTATTTAGGTGTCTTGTAGTACCATTCTTCACCGTATGAGAGTTGTTGTGTTTTTGCTACTACCTGTAAGGTAAGTCTTCTCACTATACTTGCCTGTGTGGTAGTATATGTTGAGCAACTGGGTCTTACTTGTTGATTATTGCTATATGTGAACTGATTTGCTGATATCGATAAGAGTGCTTATAGTCCCCCGGGTTGTTGATAACCCATGAGGTGTGTTGTTAATCTACAGGACGTACTGTTAGCCCACTGGGACTGGAGATAGTCCCTAAGGTTGTTGTTAACCCATAATTGATTATTATGATGTGGTGTATGATATATTTTGAGTAAGTCACTAATATTTATGCTTGAAGTTGTGGATTAAATATTTTGCATGTACTTATCAGATTGTGAAGGGGAGACTGCACACATACATCAAAAGATTTATGATTTGAGATTCCACATTGTCTTCCTATTAACTTTGATTTGAGAGGATTATGGATGAACAAAGAAGATGAAGTGAGAGATGAAGATGAAGAGAGGGGGGGGGGGGAGGTGAACGAAATAGGGA